GGTTTGCCACTTCTCGAAGTGTTTTTGTCTTGTTCGTTGTAATTTTCTCCGCCATGAACAGACTGCTCCAATATTTTCTTTTCTGCTAGCCAAACCTCAAATGGTTTTCCAGAAATATTTTGTTTTCTAACTTTGTTAGTCACCCTTGACGTTGAATCAGGTGACTCGGTGACGTAATTTACAGCACTAAAGGGACGGTTTGATAACTTTGTTTCAAGCCAGCGTTCAAACGTCAATCCTCCAGAACTAATAAAAGTCTTTTTATTAGAATAAGAAGATTCAGAATTCGACAGTGTCCGTTGGTGTCGCTTACTATTCAGCCATTTCTTGAACGACTCTGGATCGATACTCTTTCCAAGCCTGCTTTTCTGTGTTGGCGCAGTTGATGGTCTGTTTTTCTCTTGAGATCGCTTCATTTGAAGCCAGTCTTCATAGGATTGAGAAGGTTTCTTACAAGAGTATTCTTTCCGAAGATTGATTAACGTACTTTCCTGCTGCGGTTCTAGTTCGCTCTCAGATTCATTTTTATCCCATGCATGTAACTTGTCTTGCTCGTGTAACGACGATACAGTTTTCATCTTTTCAACTCTTGACTCGGTCATCAGGATGTCCAATTTACGGATTCCATTGGATCTACCTGAAACAGGCCTGCTAAAATAAGATCAAATATAGAAATTACGATGCGTCACAGGTTACATACGTTGCGAAAGCCTTATGCAATGATCGCATAAGCATGTCTTCAAAAGGAAAAAAACACTACTTTAGTTTGTAATACAGCTGGTAAAAGTAGCGATGCGAACCAATCTTTAGCGAAAAGCGCAGGGGCTGAGTAGCTCAGTCTTTCTAGAATTTGTAGGTTACGTAAATGGAGGTACAGTCAGCCTGAACATAATTTGGATCTTACAAGAGAAGATGTTAACTATTATGGCTATCATTTGTCACAGTCTGATTGCTTTCTGCCAAGGTAATTTTAAACCCTGCCTTTCGACCATTCCACTCTCTCAACATATTCATCTCTCAGAGAGGACTTTTAAAGCCAGGTACATTGGCAGAAGAAACTATGAGGGTGTTGTTTGGATCGATATTCAGTGTTGATTGATTTGGAATGATGAATTCCTTAGTAGTCCGTCCTTAAACAGTCTTTCTATTGGCGTTTAAAAATTATTTTTGCGTGGTAATAAAACTATAAGATATTATCAAGATAAACCTCAATATTCTTAAGTGATTAATCCGGTCACTATTATCAACAAAATTAATATAAACATAAATAAAAGGTCCGAAAATCATAGCTACCTATCTTGCTCTTGGGGCTTAGATTCCTCTGTGACTCGATTATCTTGTCCTTGATGTTCAGCTTGTCGCTTGCCTGTGAGAATTTCTTTGTTTGTTTGGTCTTTACGGCAAAAAACAAACAGTCAAACCAAAAAATAGATCGCTGACTTTTCTTTAATTTAGTGGCCTAAACCATCCAGCCATACAGACAAACAGTGACAAACATATATTTCCTCCGTGAAAAAATAACATATAAAATCACGTTTACGTGAACGTTAGTTTGTAGCACGTGACCTTGTTTCCCTTCAATTTTCTTCATAGAAAAGTCTGCCTCTTACCCAGACGTTTCTTTCTCTCTCGATGCGGGCAAACGAAGGCGGGAAGTAGAAAACGGGAGAGACGTGCTTCGCTTCTCCTTCCCGCGGTCCCTAGCGCTTTGTGAACAGTTATATACTTGGGTTTTGAGGTCGCCTCTGTGCGAAAAAAAAGCGTCTGAGCTCGAGGGGGAAGGCAGCAGAGAAGTAGTTTCGTGCCAGATTTATTTGTTCTGTTTACGACGCTTTTCAAAAACACGCGAACTCTGAAGTTCAAAAGGCGCCTTCTCAATTTCGATTTTCGCTCCCGTCAATCATAATTACGATTACAAGTAGCGAACCTTGAGACAAAGAAACACGCAGAACGGATCGAAATCCAACAATCGCAAATCCCAAAACATAGACCTTTTGAACCCATTGAAGTAAACTTCAGTTTGCGAAGAGGTCCGTTTAGATGATTGACGGCAGCGAATAACGGAATCGTCAGTTGGCTTAAACTTCAGAATTCGCGTCGATTTAAGGAGTATTATAGGATGCCCAGGGGGCATGAGCACATTTCGTTTGTATTTTCGAGCGCTTATGGGACATTTTGTCTTAAAGTTTTCTTAGAATAAGATTGTAATGGGAAAAAAGATCCTTGTGCCGTGTTTTGATGTAATAATGATGGCCCTTTTCCCGAGAAATATATAGTGAAAGAACATATTTCTAATACTAAACTAGAAAAAGGCGATCATTATTACACCCAAACACGGCACAAGGATCTTTTTTCTCATTACAATCTTATTCTAAGAAAACTTTAAGAAAAAATGTCCCGAAAAGAGCTCGAAAATACAAACGAAATGTGCTCATGCCCCCTGGGCATCCTATAATACTCCTTAAATCGAATTAATTCAATATGGCCGCCGTATCGGTAAAAATAACCTGACGTTTCGTGATTCTAAATATACATGACACCTCCTTAATTACGCTCTAAGCTATAGTAAAATTACCAAGATAAATTTCTACTGAGAACGGCTTTCAGAATCCGACTTCCTGTAGCTATTCTTTTTGTTCTGGAGGAGTTTCTTGCACAAAGTCACGAATAACTCGGCTGAAGGCATACTATGCAAACACCAAGCCCACGACACAAAAAAGGCCGTCAATAGCATTGCAGAAGGAAAGTGGGGGGTTCGAAATATAAAAGAAGTTACAGAGAAAAACAAAACATGAAATTGGTCTAAAAAGGACCAGTTATCTGAAGACTGACATGCAATTACAGTAATTCTTTCGATACCTAACTTCCTAGCCTTGTGGCTACAGCTTACCGTCACTTTTTTCCTCGCAGCTTGGAGTGTTACTCTCGACTTGTCTTTTTAAATCTGCCACACAGCTCTCATTGGCATTGTTGTTGACTTCTCCCACAAGCTCTATCTCATTCGCTAAGGGTGTCGTTATGTCTGGCACTTTGATGTCTTGGTCTTCCACAAATTCTTCCTTCTTTGATCCATTTTGAGTCTGGGTTGGTAAATGAGGTGTCTTGTCGTTATACTCCTGAAACTCTTTCCTGTACTTCTCAGCTACTTGCACAGTAGGAAAGGGAACCTGAGGTGGTTCATAACTGTTTAGTCGACGGCTCTGTCGTTTGCCATCGTCGTTTATAACGCGAGGAAGTTGAAGACGAGATGCCTGGAGAATGAAGTCAGTAGAAGGGTCATAAAAAGGCAGCAAATCAATCTTATTCTTACAGGCCTTTTTAGAGGATATATTAACAATCATTTATTTTTTCAGTTACCCTAGCCCTCCTTAATCTGCTACACAGCCGTTTTTAGTGTCGTCGCGCAACGCTTCCCCCCGGAGGAACGTTGCGTGACGACACTGAAAACGGCTGTGTAGCAGAAATGTTTGAGATATTGGCATATGTTTAAAACCGCATTTCTACAAAAATGTCAATAATTTCGAAACCCTAAGACAGATTTTTCTCTGACTTCGGCAAATAAGTGTCAGAGCTCTCTAGTTTTATATCTACAAGTTTGAAGTCAATTGTGACCGTAGGACTCGCTGCACAAATAGCTGGTCAATGCAATGCTAACACATTTGTGAAAGTTGACGCACGAATAGAGGAAGCCAGCTGGCAGACTATCTCCTATCTGCAAGGGTATTCTTGCCTAAAGCTTCAGTGAAACAAACTGAGTAATCAGAAACACACGGCGAATACAGTTCGCAATAAAAGAAGAACAACTTTATGCTGAATGCGGGGCAAGGTAAAAGAATTTCTATGTATCAAACTTACTTCCTATTTGTCCCTCTTTTTTCGAAACCTCTTAACAAGGCAAATTCTATTATCTACGAAAAACTCTCAAGAGTCGTCGTAGGTTTCCGTTTTGAGGAGAAATAAAGCCATCAACTCCAGTACTTCTGTTCATTTTTCAGCTGCATTGAAAGTCCTTGTACTTGGTAATTTATTCAAGGTTTTTAGTCTTGGCATCACATTTGCACGAGAAGTTTGCCACTTGGGGATAAAGATGAAGAAAATATGACAATCGTCTTATTTTTTTCATTATCCCCAATGGCAAAATGCCCGTGCGAATGTGATGGCAAATCTTTTAAACTTAAATAAATTACCCAATACAGGGGTTTTCGTTGCAGTTGAAAATGGATCGGTTGAATGCGTGTACCTTAGTGCCAACCGTTTTTCGATGGCAGGGGAAAATGGAATTCAAATTCCATTTCCATTTTTCGTTTTTCGTTTTCGCATGACATTGAAAAACAGATATGAATTTCGTTTTTCGTTTTCACATCACTTTGAAAAGCGCATTTGAACTTCGTTTTTGTATGGCTTGGTATTTGAAAAACATATCTGAATTTCGTTTGTCATTTGAAGTCCCCGGACACCCCCTCGGGGTTGACCGGGGAATTCACTTTTTATGCAAAGGAAAGCAACTGAATTTGGCCCCTCGGCCAAAGTGAGTGGTGAACTCCCCCGCCCACATGATATGTCCCACACACTCGGTACTCCTTTTTTAACAAGGGATGACAAATAATATGATGATAGCGGCGAAAAAAACAAGTTGATTTCGGAGCGAATCTAGTCACCACTAAGTGTTTATTGCACGCTTATTATTTCTCTGGCTTTGTTAATGCCATATTTCACTAAGGCTATATTGACACCTGCCTCGTACCCTGGTGCGTTCTAGCGGATGCGAGAACGACTGGAGCGATTTCGGTTCAATTCCGCGCTAGGTATCAGCGTCCTCTGCGTCAACGCTAAACGTTCCCATCGTTCATTACGCGATACTATCACTCGCAGTCGCGTTTTCCTTTTTTTCAAACATTCTTGACACGCCTAAGAACGAGGCATTACTGACACTATGCGTGCCGCCTCGAAAAGTTATCCGGTATTAATAGTATAAACAGCAAGGGCCAGGGGCTAGCTCAAGTGGTTCACACACATTAATCGTGCTGGAGCGGTTCAGGCCGAGAGGGTTAACTTGGTGAGCTAAATCCCAGTCCCGACTCCTGAATATTTACTTCTGTCTTAGGGGATTCCAGTCCCCACCCATTTACTTCAGCGGCAGTCCGAAAAGGTTTTCACACTACACCAAAACGTATTGGATCTGTGGCGCTCCACTTATGAAACCAGCGCGGCGCTCAGTAACAGAAATCGCGCTGAAATCACCGTTCTTATGTGTGAACAGAAGCCCTATCCCATAAGATTTTCATGGCGGCGCAAGAGTTATCCGGTATGGCGTGAACATTTCTTGAATTTCAAAAAACCTTACCTTTGTTTCTTGTTCATTATTGTTGTGTATGATGCCGTTATTGTTGTTATCAGGCTCGTCCGGTCTTCTTCGTGTAAATGGTAACTTCTTGAAGTTCTGGGAATATCGCCCATTTCTGGTGAAACAAAAAGCCGATTAGTTACACAACTCCACAGAAACGGGCAACCGTTGGCGCGATGAGCGTCCTTGCTGAGAATAAATTCGTAGATGATGAATGAAAATCGTTGCTTAGCATTGGCAATTTTGCTAATCAATTATTCGGCGCCCCATTTAAAGGAATCCAAGACAGTCATGAATTCTGGATTCCACACCGTGGATTCCAGATTTCAAGGTACTGGATTCCAGTCTTTAGTCAGTGACACTTGGATTCTGGATTCAAATCTTTAGAAGGATTACGGATTCCTTGAGCTCTATTTTGGATTCCAAAGCCCAAGATCCCGGATTCCACGAGCAAATTTTCCCAGATTCTGGATTACACAAGCACAAATTTCTTGGATTCTGGAATCCGGCTTTCATTACATGAGACAAAATTATTTTGGAAGACGAGACTGACAAGATAATCCACCAAATTAATTTTACCACTTGCTGTCACTTTGACCTTTTAATATAAAGCTTAGAGTTGAGGTCTCATAATCCTGCGTAAGCCTGAAGCAAAACGAGCAGGTCAAATGACTTTTTTTCTCTGATTTCATAAACTTGCAAAAAGGGTGTGTACACAGATTGAAGTGTGTTTTGTTTTTTGAATACCTTGATTAGTTAACACTACCCAAGGGAATCACCGAGCAATTGCTCCAAAGAAAATCAATTACCTGACACTGAAACTGTGTTCTCGGCTTCCCAGCAAATTTTCTTTGACGAATTATTACAGGGTGCCGAATGCTGTAGTATAATAATTTGGGTAGTTGCTGTCGCTAAATGTTAAGTATTCTGTAGTTTATATAGTCAATTTTAGGCAAAGTAAAATGGTTTGAAGAAACTATGATTCAGGAGGTCGTTTGCTTACCACATCCTACGAGTATCATATAAATGAAGTCACGTGTACCCAGCTTACCTTTCTCCACTTTCGCTTGATTCGCTTGATTCCTTACTCCACCTTGACGGTTGTCTAAATGTTTGTACACTCCACTGATAAAGCCAAAGTCTTCTCTCACAGTAAACATGACCGTTTTCGCTGGCTAGTGCAAGAGGTGTTTTACCTTGAATGTCAATTTGATTACAAACAGCGCCTTCACTAAGCAACAACGATACACAGCCCACAAAACCTTGATAGGCCGCCACATGCAGTGCGTTCCGTCCAAATATGGTTTTACCGTTGATATCAGTGGCTCCTCGGTTAATAAGTTCAAGTATCAGTCCGAGGTAACCACGATGGCAAGCAATAAATAAAGCGAGCGTTGCGCGCCGGATCACCAACTTATTCCAAAGAGAAATGTTATATCCCTCAAATTTCTTCTCGTCCAAGAACTGAACTCCATTTTCAAAAACATCGTAGATATCCCCGCGCCAGCAGGCTTCAGACAGACCGATCCAGTTCTGTTCTATTTTTACTCTGACAATGCTGCCATGCTTGAGGTTACACGTTTTCAGAGCCTCCTTGTCTAACAGTTCAACATTCATGAAGAATAAACTAAAAATGTCCCCTGGAACACCCGCTTTAAGTTCTATCCTTGATTTAAGCTCACACACGAACATTTCGCGCGATAATCCTTTGACGGTAAAAACATCATCAGTCGGCAGAGCGACAAAAATCTGGAAATTATCTTGTTCAACTGACATGCTGCTTTCCTAAAAAAAGAAGTTTCGACTGTCGCTAGGGCAATTTTCTCTTCCTTTGATTTCGTAGTTGACCCGTGAAAAACACCAACACCTGCAATAAACAGTTTCGAAAGAAATATATTTAAACATCTTCAACTGATCATTTCTGTCCTCGCTATTTACAAAAGCGAAAAATGTAATTCACTGACTCTCCGTACCTTTTCCTTTTTAACTAAAGTATTCATCTGATGTCTCATACGGCTTTTTATTTTGAGCAGCAAATGCTTAATCTTTAATATAAAATCAAAAGGATACTTTATGAATTTTTTGGGCACATTATTGACACGTCTTTTGTTACAACATGACTCGTTCAATTTTCGAATCAGAAAAAGTGAAGTTGTGTTTAGATATGGTAATGAGCCTTTGTCAAGAAACGGGATTAGTTATGTATTGTACCATTCATATTGCCAATTCACAGTACAACTGAAACAAAAGGGCCATTAACACTAGGGCTAATATTGGAAAGCAGATCTATGTCCTGTTCCCTTCATATTCCCCGCAAGTTTTGAATAGATATACTGTGAAGAGGATAGCGGATATTTTTATTTCACACCAGGCTTTAAAAATCGGAAATTTATTCACAGATACTAAACTGATAAGCTATGCCAATCAAAAGTACTCTTGAGAAACATCTAGTGATTGTAACACTTAAGGTATATAAATCAGCCTTTTTACAACCAAAAAAGGTACTATCATTAATTTCTAATCAGTATCTTGAACTTTTTACCCACCATTCGGTTGAAAAAAATAATGACTCTAAAGTAATGCAGTCGACTCAAGGTTTGTAAACGTAACGCTCCTGTTTCACCAAGATAAAAATCATTAAAACTCGTGGATTTACTTTAGAGCCAGCTTAAGTCATTTCAATACGGCGTGGTCAACTTAAAACCTAGTCCGAGACTGACCTTTTTCATTCGTCATCACAGAAACACAACTCTCCCTCTGTCAATTATTGTTTAATGGGACAAAATTATGAAAGGCGTAAATACACGAGAAATCAGCGAGTTACTATATAAGGTTTTTTATTTTCTTAGAAAATCAAAAAGTACTTAACAGCTGTACCAGTATTAGCAAAAAAAAAGGTTGAAGGGGGTTCGTTCTTTCCCCTCCCCATCCCCCGTCATTCATTTTTTTTTTTTTTTTCGCTCTTGTCCCAGCTTTCTAGACGAACCTCGCGAGGAAACGCTTGCTACGCAGGCTAAAGACAACTGTGCATTTTTTGGTTGAATGACAGTTTTCATTGATTTATCTAAAGAATCTGTTAAATGGGCCAAAACAAAACTGTTAGACGTGATCTATTGTCGCAAGCGCTTCTTGCAGACAGACATCTGTGCAAGCAAATTCCATCGTCACTACGATAACAAAAATCTAAAAAATACTTTGTTCATTACATGCTATAAAAACAATCCGGTTTTCATAAAATCTTGCAAACATAATTGAGTAAAAAAAGATGAGGCTGGTTCAATCGATCGTTTTAAGTCTAGTTTTAATCCAAAGCATGATCCATACCACACTCATTTGTTTGGAAGCTCACTGACACAACGGCGGGGTACCGACTGGTATCTTACAGTAAAAGCGAAGTGACCTATGCCACGCTTTCGTGAGATTTATATCGTCATGTTTCATACCAGCACAAAGGGATCAACGGGTATTTCTGTCAGTACGTTTTCAACTACAAATCTAACTGTTTAAAATGCTGTTGGGCCAAACATTTAGCCCAAGCTGGCTCGTTAGATGAATGTCTGATTTCCGAAAGGGGGTTTCTCGATAATTTTGAATAATTCTTTGCATTTGAGTTGTTTCTCAAAAAGTTGAAAGCTGGAAGCATGCACCCTTTCAATACTGTCTTCACTGAAATCCCTTTTCTATTAAAGTACTCCGCATTGAAAACGTGGTGCTTTTGTTTCACATTATAGTAAATCATTCGCGGAATTTACTAGTAGCCATTAGTAGCAGAAAGACTCTGGAATTGGATACCAGTGTAACATAAAACTTGCTGATCAAGATACTCTTTTGGAATACTTAAAGAAAGGTCCTCTACTTGTAAGACTTACCTTTCTCTCAAAAAGCCCCAGACGAACTGAAGATTCCGTGCTAATCAGTTTACGCTATAATTGTTCTTGTACGGGTATAATATAAGATAATGAGAAATGTATAGTAAACAATATCTGTCTTTTGTGTATGAAATACAACACACTAATCAATCAAGTGTGACGTGACGAAATACATTGCCGTCACGAAAGTCATAATTAAAATATTTAGTTACGTCATAAAAAGTGTGTGACGTGACCTCACATTGACATCACACAAGTCATAATCTGGCAGTATGTCATAGGGTTTAGTGAAGGGTTAAACAGTGAACGTTTTCTGTTGCAAGAGAACCTACAAAGCTCGTGTTTATAGCGTGAACTCTGGCGGGTGTAGGGGAGCTTACTATTTTATTTTAATTATATTCACTACTGATTTATCTATTTATTTATTCTTTATCTGTTTGTGTTCTTTTTGTGTTTTTTTTTTTGTGCGTGTGTGTTTTTTTTCCATTTGGGGAGGGATTATTGGAAATTGACGTTTACTTAAGAATGGAGTAGCAACATTTGTTTTTTTATTACTATTCGTAGACTCCCTAATAAAAACAGTGGATATTGAAATCACTTGGTGGGGCGTGAATGTCCAATCTCCACATACAAGTTAAAATGTGGAGGGTTTTTTTATTATATATTTTTTTATATTTCTTATCCCAAAAGCAAACTGGAACAATCGTCAGTTCTGCTGCTCGGCCAAAAAGTTCTTCTTTCCCATTGGCGACTCTCTTGGCCTTTAGTGGACGAAGACAATAACCATAAAAGCCAATGCCACACTTAATAGGTTTCTCTCATGCCGTTTTGGCGCTTCATTCGGTGATGCTTCTATAAAAAAAAAAAGGAAAAAAGAAAAGAAACACATTAGATAAGTAATTGTGAACATACAGTCACACCTGGGATGCTCACCATTTGACAGAAAATACTGGGCGCGAAAGGGAGTCACGCGAGAGTAGAGGTTAGGAGCAGGCGCTAGGAAATAGTGGGCGCAAGAATTTCGCGCGCCGGTTTTTTCTTTCGCCCAAATACTTCCAAGCGCCTGCTACGTAGCCTAACCTATCCGATATGTGACTCTCTACTTTATAGAGTTCGGCCTGCCTCAGCTTCCGCTCCGTTACAGAAACTAGCGCCGAAACTACCTTCCTTATGTGTGAGCATAAGTCCTACAGTGTGGTTTTGGAGCTGGCGCAAAAGCTATCCAGCATAGTATGAACATAGTCTAAACTTATCACTTTTTGCCGGTTTCTTCGCCTTCACCGTAGTCGTCGCTAAAGCTACCTAGTGTGACTATTAATGAACCTTTTGGTGTGCAAGTTGAACTTTTCTCCTTTGTTCATTTAACATTCTCTTTTTAGTTCCAAAACATTTGCATAGCTGCTAGCGGACAGCACAAAGAGAGAAAAACGTCCCACGTAGAGTTTGACTGCTAAAACTCAGGCAGTAAAAGAACAACAACAAAAAACACCAGATTAAGTCTCACCAGTTATATTGAGAAAATAATCCATTTGAATACCCTGAAAAAAAGGTTTACATGAGTAAACTGTTTAGAACAATTTCATTATCTGATGTAGCCGTAAAATGCATTAAACATTAAAGGGGTAATCAGAAATAATGTACCTCGAAAAGAGAGCTCCCAGTAGAATTGCAGTTACTGATGGCTAAAAACCAACATTTTTTTGTCAGGTAGTCACTAGTCTGTACTTGATACATTTGAGTTCCTGTGAATCAAACAATAATAAATCGAACAATAACTGACGGTCAAGAACACTCGTGCCATAAGAATCGTAGAGCTTGAAATGCACTGTGTAGGGGATTCCGGATTCCGGAATCGAGAATTTTTGTTTGTGGAATCCGGAATCTAGAATCCTGAGCTTTGGGATACGGAATAAAAGTCAAAGAGTCTGGAATTCCACTAACAATTAGAATCCAGAATCCAAGTTACACTAACTTGAAACCAGTACCTGGAATCGACAGGTACTTGGGACGATTGCAATGCACTCTGAATTTTACAATAACTGAGTGAATCCTCGCGCGTTGGTTTGTCGAGAGCTATGGTCTGTGAGAGTATAGACCATGAAAAAGACGTAACATGTCACGCAGTGTCCGTTTTTGTTTGTTTGTTTGTTTGTTTGTTTTTTGTATCTAGTTTATCGTAAAAAAAAATAAATGTTATTGTAAAAAACAAATCGACCACAATTTTCCATGGCCCACACTCTTATAGACTATAGAAATGACGCCATAAAATGTTCCAAACTTTGCAGTTAGACCTCTCGCCCGCGGCTCGTGGTTCCACTTGAGTTTTGAACATTTTATGACGTCATTTCTATGGTCTATAAGAATGTAGACCATAGAAAATTGTGATCGATTTGTTAAGTAGAAAACGGAAACGAGAACAAATACGATTGCCCGACAATGGCTGCAATAACAGTCCTTTCCACTTCAACCTGATTGTCAGTGACACCCGCGTAACCTTGCAAATTACTGTTAGGCCGTGACATTGGGTGGTATTAAAAGCGCGATTTTATAAAGAGACTAGGGTACCCAGTACGTTATCATTCTTACAGCATTTCCAAACTATTTGATGGCTACTGACATTGATTAAGCCTATTTCTGACTGAATCAATAAAAAATGAAATAAATTGCGTTTTTGTTTGCTAGATCGATTACTCTTCCTCCTGAATTCAGGCTAGCATCAGAAGGCATCTGGCGCGTCGTATTTAAAAGTACGAAAATAACATGAAGAATTTAACGATTCCAGAATATATAGGGTTGTTTTCAACAAAGGACCATGCGTTTACAATCTTATTCTAAGAAAACTTTAAGAAAAAATGTCCCGAAAAGAGCTCGAAAATACAAACGAAATGTGCTCATGCCCCCTGGGCA